CGGAAACGGAGGCACAGCTTATTGTTGGCTCAAAATAACATCGATAATTGTCTTAACGTTAAGCGAAAAATTCCAACCTGCACAGTGTAGCCAAATAACATCAATAGCGTTTACCAATTCAGCTGCATAAATTCATACAATGGTGCGCAGAAAAAAAACGGATAAACAGTAGAATTCCAGACGCCCTAATACATCAATTATTTTATGACAAAATACGGATATCACCTAAATCAAAAGGTGACCTAGACTAAATAAGTAGCCATTTTCCAAACCGTATGTTCCTATTCTTTAAGACAGGGTTGGCATGAATGAAAATTGAGGGTGTTCTCAAGCACTTCACTCAACAGATCGGAGGCAACAATTTAATTAGTCAGAACTTGAGCTAAACAAGTGAGTTATCATTTCGATGAGGTACGGATCATTTTTTTGTCAAAGAGTTACTCTGATTGGCTAAAATTTATAATCCGCATTTCGCACAATGAATCTTAACAAGTTGTTCTTCATAAACCACCAAATTAATCACGATTATATCGAGCAACACTTCGATCAATAGTTAATTACATTGGGAGAACACTATTAGTCGACCGAGACGATAACTTGGCTAAGGTGTTAGTCAATCTGAACTGGATCGGTTAGTACAGTAGTAACGATTAGGGTTGTTAATGGAGTGCTCCAGACTATATAACCCGTTTCTGGAGTGCTCCGGAGTGGGTTATATGTTTTATTATTAACTGCACTCCATTAACAACCCTAGTAACGATATTGTATTATTTTTTATATAAAATGTATTTGATTGGTCATTAATATTGGACATATCACTGGACATTGGAAAAATGTCTGAATTGTGCTATGCAATATTATCGGACATTGTTATAACTTGGGAAATGTCCGATGTCCGGTAAAAAAAAAAAAACCACCGGATATATAACTTTCCCAACCCTGCTTTAAGACATAGTATGAATAACTATTCGGATATATAACTCGGGGACAAATCTGCACTTTACAGCAGGGTCGGCAAATGACACTTCTAATGACAAGTGACCACTGATAACATTATATAAAAATTGACAAATACAAGTCATAGAGTGATTGTATTTTATTGGGCAGGCATCACGTGATACCGCTTTACTTGGAGTCAGGGTGTCCGATGCGATGGAGGTCAATTATGCGATGAATGCGAAATAATTAAATAGATTATAGAGTCACATGACCTGGATGCTTTTTTTTGCTTAATTATGCATAATTCTGGATATCCTAACCCCAGTATTGCCATCAAAAAAATCCACCCACGTGATTATGATCATAATTTTAGTATATTCAAACCAAACATTTTTTTGTATTATTTATCAAGAATTCGCGTAAGAAACCAATTTTCGTGCATTAACAAAAAGTTTTCCTTGAGTGATTTTACTATCTACTTGCCTAAATCCCCCTAATCTAGGCACCTATCATGGGGAGAAATTTTTGATGGCGATACTGGGGAAGATCCACTTGGATGATCCCATTAAATGACATGACTATGGTCATTTGTCATCTGTCATCTTAGTCATCGTAATTTTTGAATGACCAGGTCATTTGCAAACCCTGCTTTACAGCAACTTTGAAACTCTGTTTCATAAAAAACGTCGCGTTAGAAACAATATGGTGAATCGAGCTTCGTATTACAACCTTTTCTAGTTTAGGTAATTCGCCACAACTTGTCCAAAAATTCAATTGGACTTTTAGATTGCAATAAATAAAAATTATATAATTATATCATACAGTATAATTATACAATGAATTGTTCAAAATGTTGAGCAATAATTTGTTCATTGGGTATAAAGCTAAATTTATTGATCAATCACAGCTTTAAATCTTGTATGTAGCTATATAGAAATATTTATATTTTGCGTAATGTATAAATTTATAAATAAACCATATATATTAGCTAGATTTATCAGATCAAATATTTTTTCATATTGTATAATGAATCAAATTGATAAAATTTATGTTAGCTTTATCATTATATTGTTATAGCATTTCGAAATCGATTTGGAATAGCGCTTAAGAGAATTTATTAAAAACTTACATCATACTAGAAATTAACGATGACAATGATAAGATGCAACTTGCAATTAAAATTCATTGATATTATTGATATTGATATCGATATCCGTGAATATTGGGTCAAATGTGCAGTACCATGTCTATTTATAAAAAAATTAATCACAAGGTTACAAATACACAGGTTAAAATAAAGTATATCAGATAAATATCAGTGAAATATCACATATTGATATTTAACCGATTAATATTAGAAATACAGAAATAGGGAAAATATCAGAAGCTGATAGTGCAATCAGTAAACCATCAGGTATATGACAGAGCTATCTTATACCCGATGGCTTACTGATTGCTCTATCAATCTCTGATATGTTTCTGATATGTTTCTGATATGTTTCTGATAGTGTCCCTATTCCTGACGGGTTCACCGACACTCACTTCACCGACAAGTTTATTTCACCGACAATTATTTCACCGACAGAATATTTCACCGACAAGTTTTTATTATAAATTACACTAACCTTAACTCTAATTCTAACCGGACCCTAACGACAATGACCAGAATTACTTTGTCGGCAAAATGACTGTCGGTGAAATAATTGTCGGTGAAATAAACTTATCGGTAAATGGATTGTCGGTGGAATGGCATGTGAAGTGAGTGTAGTGTCGGTGAAATCAAACGGAGCCTTCCTGACATTAATCGATAAATATATGTGATATTTTACTGATATACTTTATTTCGACCTGTGATAGTAATGTAAGTTTTGTAACTAAGGTTCATTGTTAACATTCATTAAGGCAAGAGTGAATTAATTTAATTAATATGTTTGTGTTTGGACAAATACTTGGACATGTTATATAAAAATAGAAATGCAAATCACTCACATTTGATATGAAGATTTGACTTAATTTAACCCTTAATTTTACATATAATTTGATATCTTTTTTTAAGGTATAAACGTGTTATAATGTCCATCGTATACGTACGTAGACCAATATTCGATCTACAAGACATGATGCGCGCAGTTTTCTGAAGCCATCAAATTTTATTTATCTTTTTTTTTTAAAAAAAAAAGTCGTATTTAATATTATAATTTAATATAATTTTTTTGATAAGAACCATCAAATTACGGTTTGATTTTAAATGCACAATTTTTAATTAGAAATTTTAACATTAATTGCTATGTCGTATTCACAAAATTTTCGGCACCTTGATGTCATTAGCGTTTTAAGCGAATGCACTATATTTAGTTAAATGTCTACCTCGTTCAAAGTTTCTTGCTTGTGCCTTATAGAAAGACTTTCATATGATTGGCTGTTTAAATCAATTTAATTTTACATTTTTTATACAGCTTAAAGTACTTTTAAAACAAATAAATAAAAAAAGGTACATAGAAAGTTTTATTAGAGTTGCAGGACTCTACAATTAAAAATAATCAAAATCCCCTTTTATTTTAGAGAAGTCAGCATGATAATAACCTAATTTTATCTAGTTTCAGAAGTCATTATTATGCTAACTTCTCTAAAACAAAAAGGGATTTTGATTATTTTTAATAGTGGAGTCCTACAACCCTAGTGAAACTTTCCATAAACTTCTTTTTTTTTATTTTTTAAATAAAATTAAATTGATTTAAACAGCCAATCATATGAAAGTCTTTCTTGCCTGTTTTTGTTATCTTACATATTATGTGAATATGATGAATATTGACAAATTTTACGTACCCCCAAAAAAAAAAAAATTTATCAACATAACACTGACTAATCTGTCCATCTATCCCTAGACGTGCGAAATTTTTATTGAATTTAAGGAAACTTTTCCGAATACCCTTAACGATAGAAACTGTTCTAAAATACTAGTTCATATCAATGTCGAAATATTATTGAGTTTTAAATACCAAAATTATTATGATATTATTAAATTCGTTCCGCAAAATGATCTGCAAGGGCATTATTAAAAAAGCTAATGACCTAAAAATACCAAACAAAAAAAAAAACTTATAAAAGACGCGGGTATATTAAAAAAAAATTCAAGCGCATACACACTTTACATTATAATAAACTAAGATATATATATGTCGTACCTCGGATAGGAATCCTCCCGATTCAGAATCCGGCTGTCCCAGTTTAGAAACGGATTTAGAATTCTTATACGGAGTACCTGGCTCAATAATTATATATCGATATATAATGGAGTTAGGATTAAGGTTAGAATACGTATTATATAATGAACTAGATGCCCTGATTCTGAATCGGGACAGCCGGATTCTGAATCGGGCGAATTCCCTGTCGCTATTGTTTAAAAAAAAATTCTTAAAGGCTATCCAACTAAAATATTCAAAGATGTGCTCTATTTATGATAAAATTCTTTAACTCGCATTATCACATATTTTAATACAGTTTTTACGTTATTAAATTATCTAGTGGTAATCAGTATCAAAATTACATCAAAATTATTAATATTATAACGTGATTCATTTTTATCCAACAATTATCAAAAAATAATTAAGGTCCCCCTTAAAACGAAGTAATTATTAATGTAAACCTGCGTATATCAAATGCGTTCTTTTAATTATCATTAAACAATTCCTTCTCCAATTCGTTTTCCTAAATGTAACTCAAGTATATAAATGCAATTATGTTAAATTTGGCATAAAATACCTTTCATTATTTTTAAAGAAAATGTGATAATGTATAAAATGTCTATAAATACCCCTCCAGTTTTGTTATTATCCGAGACAAATGGTAAAGGAATGTACGTTTTCTTCACGCGTAGTCACTTAAACCTCTCGAAGCGATATTTTTACTTTGTTATTCTTGACTAATAAAACCAAGTCATGTTCCAAAATATATTTCTCTTCTTTCTTTATTTTGCCATTATCTTCATTTCTACTGTCACTGTAGTTGCCCAAAATTCTAATGAGCCAACGTATATTAAAATTCCTCTTAATCAAGATATGATGAAACAATTTGAAGAAATAGCGGCTAAAGGTAAAGGTATGGCTCCACCTATAAGTGCGAACCAACCTGACGAACCTGAAGATGATGAAACTTTTATTGACTTTCCTGAAAGCTCGGATAATTCATTCAAAAGCTCAGACAGCTCATCTAAAAATACTGTCAAACAAGCTGCTGCACCTTCTCCAACTAATGTAGTTCCTGCAATTAAAGGTCCTACGACTCCAGTTAGTGATACTCCTATTAAAGGTCCTACGACCCCAACTAATGATACTCCTAAACAAAGTATTAATAGTATTGGTCCAACAATACCTACTC